TGACCTCACTCCCCAGCTCCTGCTTCACTGCCTGTCCTGGCATCACCAGGTAGGCATTCCTCCTCAGGGCCCACGAAGCGGTTCCTCCCAGGCAAAACCATACGCATCATCCAACCAGCCTCCCAAGCCTGCTCCCTTGGTGACTTTCCTGCCTCAGAGCTCAGCACCACCCCGTTGTCACACACCAGCTCTCACTCCAATCAGTCAACCTTCTGTCCTCCGAACCCTCTTGCATTCTCTGTTTTCTCTCCATCACTGCTGCCACTGGCCCAGTTTCAGGATGGGCCCCTAACTGCTCACGTGGGTCTGTCCACTGATTTCTGCCCACTTCCCTGCAGTCTTTTTTCTCATCCAATCCCAGTCAGATTAATCTTCCCCTGACAGCCTCTGTAGGGGTAGAGGTCAAATGTCTTAGGTGTCACATTAAAGGCCTTTCTAGACCTGGCTCTCATTCAAGGTGGCAGACGTGTCTTCCGCAGTGCCTCACCCCCTGGGTTCCAGCCAAACTGGGCTATTAATCATGGCTAACGTTCCCAGGGTACAGGCTCAGCGCCACTAATGACCACCACCCTACCACCCTATTAGAGGTCAGCACTAACCACCCCTAGTTGGTAGAGGGGCTGTGGGATTGCAAAGATTTGCACATGACTTAGCCACTCAGTTCAGTTCAGTTCAGTCGCTCAGTCATGTCTGATTCTTTGTGACCCATGGACTATAGCATGCCAGGCCTCCCTGTCCATCACCAACTCCCGGAGTTTACTCAAATTCATGTCCATTGAATCGGTGATGCCATCCAACCATCTCATCCTCTGTCATCCCCTTCTCCTCCTGCCTTCAATCTTTCCCAGCATCAGGGTCTTTTCAATGAGTCAGTTCTTCGCATCAGGTGGCCAAAGTATTGCAGTTTCAGCTTCAGCATCAGTCCTTCCAATGAACATTCAGGACTGATTTCTTTTAGGATGGACTGGTTGAATCTCCTTGCAGTCCAAGGGATTCTCAAAAGTCTTCTCCAACACCACAGTTCAAAAGCATCAATTCTTCAGTGCTCAGCTTTCTTTATAGTCCAACTCTCACATCCATACATGATGACTGGAAAAAACCATAGCTTTGACTAGATGGACCTTTGTTGGCAAAGTAATGTCTCTGCTTTTTAATATGCTGTCTAGGTTGGTCATAGCTTTTCTTCCAGGGAGCAAGCGTCTTTTAATTTCATGGCTGCAATCACCATCTGCAGTGATTTCGGAGCCCCCCCCCGCCAAGAAAAAGTCTATCACTGTTTCCCCATCTATTTCCCATGAAGTGATGCTACCAGATGCCATGATCTTAGTTTCTTGAATGTTGAGTTTTAAGCCAACGTTTTCACTCTCCTCTTTCACTTTCATCAAGAGGCTCTTCAGTTCTTTACTTTCTACCATAAGGGTGGTGTCATCTGCATATCTGAGGTTATTTATATTTCTCCCGGCAATCTTGATTCCAGCTTATGCTTCCTCCAGCCTAGTGTTTCTCATGATATACTCTGCATATAAGTTAAATAAGCAGGGTGACAACATACAGCCTTGATGTACTCCTTTCCTTATTTGGAACCAGTCTGTTGTTCCATTTCCAGTTCTAACTGTTGTTTCCTGACCTGCATACATATTTCTCAAGAGGCAGGTCAGGTGGTCTGGTATTCCCATCTCTTTCAGAATGTTCCACATTTTGTTGTGATCCACACAGTCAAATAAATTATTTTTGGCATAGTCAATAAAGCAGAAGTAGATGTTTTTCTGGAACTCTCTTGCTTTTTTGATGATCCAGCAGATGTTGGCAATTTGATCTCTTGTTCCTCTGCCTTTTCTAAATCCGGCTTGAACATCTGGAAGTTCATGGTTCACATATTGTTGAAGCCTGGCTTGGAGAATTTTGAGCATTACTTTACTAGCGTGTGAGATGAGTGCAATTGTACACTAGTTTGAGCATTCTTTGGCATTGCCTTTCTTTGGGATTGGAATGAAAACTGACATTTTCTAGTCTTGTGGCCACTGCTGAGTTTTCTAAATTTGCTGGCATATTGAGTGCAGCACTTTCACAACATCATCTTTTAGGATTTGAAATAGCTAAGCTGGAATTCCATCACCTCCTCTAGCTTTGTTTGTAGTGATGCTTCCTAAGGCCCACTTGACTTTGCATTCCAGGATGTCTGGCTTTAGGTGAGTGATCACACCATCGTGGTTATCTGGGTCATGTAGATCTTTTTTGTATAGTTCTTCTGTGTATTCTTGCCACCTTTTCTCAATATCTTCTGCTTCTGTTAGGTCCTTACCATTTCCGTCCTTTATTGTGCCCATCTTTGCATGAATGTTTCCTTGGTATCTTTAATTTTCTTGAAGAGATCTCTAGTCTTTCCCATTCTATTGTTTTTCTCTATTTCTTTGCACTGATCGCTGAGGAAGGCTTTCTTATCTCTCCTGGCTATTCTTTGGAACTCTGCATTCAAATGGGTATATCTTTCCTCTTCTCCTTTGCCTTTCATGTCTCTTCACAGCTATTTGTAAGGCCTCCTCAGACAGCCATTTTGCCTTTTTGCGTTTCTGTTTTCTTGGGGATGGTCTTGATCCCTGCCTCCTGTACAATGTCACGAACCTCCGTCCATAGTTCTTTAGGCACTCTATCAGCTCTAATCCCTTGAATCTATTTCTCACTTCCACTGAATAATCATAAGGGATTTGATTTGGGTCATACCTGAATGGTCTAGTGGTTTTCCCTACTTCCTTCAATTTAAGTCTGAATTTGGCAATAAGGGGGTCATGATTTGAGTCAGCTCCCGGTCTTGTTTTTGCTGACTGTATAGAGCTTCTCCATCTTTGGCTGCAAAGAATATGATCAATCTGATTTCAGTATTGACCATCTGGTGATGTCCGTGCGTCGAGTCGTCTCTTGTGTTGTTGGAAGAGGGTGTTTACTGTGACCAGTGCGTTCTCTTGGCAAAACTCTATCAGCCTTTGCCCTGCTTCATTCGGTACTCCAAGGCCAAATCTGCCTGTTACTCCAGGTGTTTCTTGACTTCCTGCGTTTGCACCAAAGAGCAACAGCAGCTCAGGTTCAGAGAGGATGAGTGGTTTCGCGGAGGCCCTGCAGCTGGCGGTGGCGCGAGTCCGGGGCCGGCCCCGGGGCAGCTGGCCTCACAGCCCGTTCTCCCCATGCGATGGTTCAGTCCCCACCGCAGGCAGGGCCTGGGCCACCACTGGGGCCTCCAGGTGATGAGCTTCTTACTGTGCTTGCAGGGGCAGGCCCTCCCCTCCTTCAGGCCCGTCTGAAGCACCTCAGGTACACCTTCACTGACCCTCCAGCTGGAACCAGTTACTCCCCAAAACTATTTAGACCTTCCTTGTGTTACCATGTTTTAGGTCATGTTACCCTAACCAGAATCCATTTTGCTTCTCAGCTTTTATCATTCTGATTGAATGTGAGTCCTCTGGGAGAAAGGACTTTTGTTCACTGCTGATTCCTCAGGACCTTACCCGGTGCCTGGTATTCAGCATTTGTTGAATTAATGAACCAGAGAATGTTGTACTTCCTCATGTATGAGCCTCAGCTCCCTACTGGGCTCTGAGTCCCTTAAGGATGGGAACCCCGTCTTCCACATTGCAATCCCGTAAGTCATTTATCAATGACTCCCCCTGTTTACATTCACATGAAGGATGAGGTCCCTGACATGAAGTGTACATACCACTACAGTTCATGATCTTGCGTTTAGAGCATCACAGTGCAGTCAACTGTCAAAGGAGTAAACTAGATTAAAATAATAGAGAACGTTTTGAGAATTCATACAAGTCTGAGTAATCTGCAATTGGTAGACTGAACTGGGTGCTTTCCCATACAATAAGATCTCAAGAACTTCTTTACAGTCCCAACTCTTTTTAAAAAAAATTTGTGGCCGTATCCCATGACATGTGGGATCTTAGTTCCCTAAGTGCAAGTTGCTCAGTCGTGTGTCCGACTCTTTGAGACCCCATGGAATTCTCCAATCCATGGAATACAGTCCCTGGAATTCTCCAGGCCAGAACACTGGAGTGGGTAGCCTTTCCCTTCTTCAGGGGATCTTCCTGACCCAGGGATGGAACCCAGGCCTCCCGAATTGTGGGCGGACCCTTTACCAGGTGAGTTACTTTAGTTCCCTGACTAGGAAATCAAACCCACACCCACCTACAGTGGAAGCTCAGTCTTAACTGTTGGACCCCCAGGGAAGTCCCCCATTTTTTTCCCATCTCCAAAACCCCACAGCCTGCAATAGCACCTAACACACGACACTCCTTCCCACTCAAGGCCCTCAGTGGCTCCCTAGTACCCAGGTGTCTTAGAACCTAAACTTCTCCACTTGAACTCAACTCTTCACTGTGAACTTCTGTCTCCCTCTCCAGACCCACCTCCACAAGGCCCCACACAGATCCATTTGATGGATTCCTCAGTTCTGGCACCCCAGCCTGCTCTCTGGTCTCCTTTATTTCCTCTATTCCCTTCACCCAGCATGTCCTCCCTGCTCTCTCCTGGTCAACACTCCATAGCCGTCCCCAGGCCCAGCCCTGATGCCCGTCCACCGGGCTCAGCCCTTCTGCCCTTGTGCTCCTGAGGGCAGACCCCACAGTTCATCCCTCTGTGCCCCTCTGGACTGTACAGTCAGTGCTGGTCAATAATTATCAGGCAGATTTCAACTGAGAGAAAAGTTAGGAATTCTGTCCTGACGCATTCTGAATGAGAAGGGGAAGCCTGCTGAGTTTAGAATTTTATTGCAACTAGTACGGTGAATGGATAATGCAGGTTTGACAACATGGTGATCGCCTCTAAAGACCTCGGCGACCAGGGCCTACAACCCTCGTTCCCGACGGACATTCGTGCGACGGTTCCGATGTGGCAGAGAGCACTGACATGAACAGACAGCCGTCTCCTGCTGGTGTCCAAGCTCCCTGGCGGCAGCCACCTGGGTGCCCTGCAGAGGGTCTCTGCCGGCTTGAGGGATGATTTCAGTCCACATCGACCTTCCTGCTTGTCTTGATGGCAGAATTCATTCTCTTTTTTCGGAGCCTTTCGCGATTCATGTTTTCTATCCTAGAAACAAAGAGGAACACAGTTCCGCCCAGATGCCCAATCAGCGCCTCTCAGGATGGCGAGAGGGGCTGGCGGCTGAGGCGGCAGGTGCCAGGCCAGGCCCTCCACTCAAGGTCCGTCTGCCCGCTGCCAGTCTCGGGCCTCCCCCGCCTCCTTTACTCCCTGGGTGGCCTCCTCGCCCACGTGCATCGGTTTACAGAAGCCTGGGGCATTTTCTGAGAGACCTGAGTTTCTGCAGTGCAGCATCTTCTTTGGACGGCTCCGTGGCTGGCTGGCTGGCCTTAGCAATCATGTCTCGAATCTTCTGGAGGCAATCTGCCAGGTTTCGGAACTGATAGCGGCTGCATTCAGAGGTGAGAATCAGCTCTCCCGCCCTGTTGATCTTATTTTTGTGCTGTGGAGAACAAAGGCAAAACCAGAGTTCTGCAGAGAAGAGGTTTCAAAGCCAGTGAGGGGTTACAGGGAGAGCAGGGGCCGGTGGTTTACCGTGAGGGCCATCTTCTGCCGCACGGGCTCTGCGATCCAGTCGGCGCTTGCCAGGTGGAACCTGACTTCGGCCTTGGAGTTCACTGTCGAGAAAGGGAGGGAGCGCGGGTCACTGAGACGCTCGGGCACCCTCAGCATCCGGGTGGCTGGTGCCCACCAGACTCTGAACCACAGGGAGGTGAGACGCCCACCCAGGGATGCTCCTGTCCTGTGTGAACTCGGGGAGACCAACTTGGCCATGAAATGAGCCTGCCAGGATGGTGAGGCGCTTCTGGACAAAAATTAACTTCTGGGACTTCCCAGGTGGTCTGGGGTTAAGACTCTGAGCTTCCAATGCAGGGGGCCCGGGTTTGATCCCCGGTCAGGGAACTAGATCCCACATGCCACAACTAGAGATCCCGAGTGCCACAACTAAGACCTGGCACAGCCAAATAAGTATTAAAGAAAATACAAATAAACTTCCAGGTAAGTGGATAACCAACCAGGACCTACGGTACAGCATAGGGAACTCTGATGGGAGGGGAGTATGGCAGAGAATGGATACATGGGTATGTATGGCTGAGTCTCTTTGCTGTGCAACTGAAGATATCACACGTTATTAATCAGCTATACTGCAATATAAAATAAAAAGTTAAAAACAAACAAAAAGCCCCAAACTTCCAGGAATGAAATGCCCACTGGTTTCTTTCTCTCACAACTTACTGGGTTCTGACAAGAATGCGGCAGGGGGAGGGGGAGCGAGTTCCACAAGAATGAAGGAACCTGTTCTGGGAGCTGGCTGCCAACTCACACTGTGCAGTCCCTTTGTTCAGACTCCCAGACCGACCCCAGCCCTGGCAACCCGCAGCTGGGAGTCCGCGGATCAGACCACATTCAAGAGAATAAAGGGGGTTATTATATAAACTGGCAGCATTTGAGCTTCTGAAAAAAAAAATCCCTTTATTTCCACATGAATATAAACACAGAAATCCTCAAGTCCATCTCTCAGCTAAGTGCTAAAGAAAACAAGGCACCTCGTACCTTTGTTAACGTTCTGGCCCCCAGGACCACTGCTCCGACAGTAAGATATTGTCAAGCGATCTGAAAAACAGAATACACGCCATCAAGGTGATTTCCCCAAGGCTAGAGACAGCAAAGGATGTAAAATTACGACCCAGGTTGTCCACTCCTGGTACAGTACACTCTGCCAGATCTGACTGCCCTTGCTTTTTGCTGTTTCTTTTAAAGCAAGGACTCTTTCAAAAGCCCAAACGGAGGGACAAACTGAATTTACGTTGTATTTTGAAATGCGGTGGTCGCGGACGCCCCGGCTGGCAGGTGTGTGTCTCCCTCATGCGTTCCACGTGCGATCCCAGGCCAAGCCTGGGGTCAGTGGGCGAGAATACCTGCTGGGTGAATGAGCACTCCATTCGGAGCCAGGAGTCCCGTCTTCTAACGCCGGCTCAGCACAGGCTGACTATGTGACCCCAGCAAGGCCTCGCTGCTTCCCTGCATCTTGGTTTTGTTTTGAATCTATAAACTGAGGTTGCTTTCTTCTACTTTTTTTTTCCTTTAGCCACGCTTGGTTGAATGGGTTTCTCTGGTGGCTCAGATCATAAAGTATCTGCCTGCAATGCAGGAGACCCAGGTTCAATCCCTGGGTCAGGAAGATCCCCTGGAGAAGGGCATGGCAACCTACTCCAGTATTCTTGTCTGGAGAATCCCACAGACGGAGGAGCCTGGTGGGCTAGTCCATGGGGTCGCAAAGGGTTGGACACAACTGAGCAACTAAGACTTTACTGTTTGAATATCTGCAACTATTATTCTATACACTAATTTTCACTTCTTACAAAACCCTATATTCTATATTGCCAGGTCACTTCACTCTCCATTTTATGCCACGTTTCCATCAGGAAGTGCTTCCCCCAATCACAATCTGCCTGACTGTGTGTTGTTCAGTTGCTATGTCATGTCCGACTCTTTGCAAACGAACTTATTTTTCCCAACAGGTGATGACTGCCTGCCGTTCTGCGGGGGGGCCTCATCAGTCTCTGCAGAGGCCTGGGGCCCTCTCAGAGGCAGGCGAGGAGAAAAGGGTGACTGGCCATTCCCGCTGCCTGCCCGTCCGCCCAGGCTGTCAGGAGACGGGCCTTGTTGTCCCTGGTTCTCTGCCTCCTGCCGCCACAGGGCGCCACCGCCAGCTTCAAATCACCGAGCAGCAGCAGGCTGCCGGCTCCTCTGCTTTAGACCGTGGTCACCTGGCCTCCTTGTTTCGGGGTCACCTCGAGCAAGGGCCACATCGGGATGGCGCCTTTGGCTGCTCTCCTTTCGCTGTCTGTGGGCGCCAGAAACTCTTTGACTCTCAAGGGGCCTGCTTGTTTCTTTACAGACCACATCTTAGGCTCGATGGGCACAAAACTTTGAAGTTACGCAAGTGGTTTACAGGGAGAAGTCCCCACTCCTGTTTCCCAGACACCCAAGTTTGTCTCCACTCCCTGCTTGGGGCAACTCCGGTATCCAGTGCCCTCCACATCCTTCAGATCTGTGTGGACATCCAGAAACATGTGCCTCAGATAGATATATATATAAGTAAAGCACAAATGGCAGCTCACTACAGAGATGCTTCTGTACCCGACTTTTTTTTTTAGAAAATGACCAGTTCACCTAGTGTAAAGACTGTTCCAGGTCACAAGCCCATCGAGAGCACTCCACATGTGTTGGGGACTGCCCAGAGCTCTGGCGGGGGGCTGCCTCATCACTTTCTTTTTCCTTCCTCTTCTCAACAATACTGACAGGACTCCACTTCTGTACCTTCAAAGACAGCTTCTTTACTTTCACTGGGCTGGGGAGGAATGCATGACACGGGGAGGAAACGATCGGGGTTTTTTCTGTGAAACAAAACCACTCACCTACAGGAATGTCATCGTTGCCTTGCTTTGTGTCGTCCTGTAATGAAACATACACGGTGTCAGGTGAATATTACCTGCTGAGCGACCCCTAACTGGTCCAGAGCAACAAAAAGGAAATGATGTAAAGCCACAACGCGGATGTAATAAAGCTATTTTCAGGTCCCTAGCTAAATTGTGTTGAGATGACAGAAAAAGCTTCCCCATGCTCCAGAGGTACCACCTCAGAAACACTCCTCCAGGAAACGGGACCGACTTCTCCAGCCCTCCCTGCCACCCACCCTGCACCCCAGCCCGCTCAGCTAGAGTTGGCACCGTCAGCAGCTGGGAGGAGGGAAGGGGCTACAGTACATGGGCATCACGGAGACTCCGAGAAACACCCTCTGCCCACCACAGGAGGCCCGAGTGCAGGGCTGTCTGCCTTTAGCAGTGATCAGCACAGGGGCCCTGAGGGTTTGTGTCAAGCTGAAATACTCACTCCAGGACCTCCCGCCTCCACGTCTCTCCTGAGTTGTTTCTCTGTGGCCTTAAATCCTCCCGTCCAAGGGCCCACTACGAACACCACCCACTTGGAGGCTCTTCTGACCTCCCAAGCTCAAAGGAGCTTCACCTGTCCCTGCTCTGGCTGCCTTCATCCCTTTTCATCTTAGAATGACCTGGGTGGTGAAATCCTCAGCGTACATCACGTCGGCATCGCTGGAGACCCCGGGCGGCACCCTCTTTCAAGCATGCTCTTCCCTCTTCTGAGCTGGCCTCTCCAGTTTCCTCTCACCTCCCCGTGACTTTCTTCACTCTCCTCTGCTTGCTCTCTGCAAACTTGAAACACTGAAATGTCCCTGAGATCCTTCCTCTTCTCTCTCTCACTCTTTTCCTAGAATCTTCCACCCATCTCCTTTGAAAGTATCATCCCGGGTGATATTTCTGGCTCAAACTCAAACCTCTTTCTCCAACTCCACACCCACAGAGCCCACTGCTATTTGATGTCTCCTCTCAGGTGCCTAACTGATGCCTCAAACCTCCGGCCTCTTCAAAGGCTTCCCTTCCTGACAACCGGAAGCAGCTCCCTGGCTCTCATGTCAAAGCCCTCCGTCGAGTCAGTACTTCTCACTCTCTGACATGTTTTCCTCATTTATTTACTGTCTGCTCCTTCTGTTAGAACATTAAGCTTCACGAGGTGGGAACTAGTTTATTGTGGCTGTATCTGCAATGCTTGAAACAGTTTCTGACACAGTTGGTGCACAAGAAACTTTTTGCTGAGTGAATGAACGCACAAACGAATGTTACTGCCATTCTCTCATCTCAATTAATGGCAACTCAATCTTTACATTGCTCAGGGCCCTAGACTTCAGTTCCTTTTCACACTTCTCTGAGAAAATCCATTAGCAAATTCTGTAGGCGTTCCCTTTAAAACTTATCTAGAAACTGATAAAATCTCATGACTCTTATTGCTTCCACCCTGCTTATCATCTTTTTGTTTGTTTTTTTTTTTGCCCCACTGGGTCTTAGTTGCAGCATGTGGAATCTGTTACTAGTTCTCTGACCAGGGATCAAACCTGGGCCCCCTGCACTGGGAGTGCAGTGTCTTAGCCACTGGACCACCAGGGAAGTCCCCCTGCTTATCATCTGTTGCCCGCATTACTGCGATCTCCTCACTGGTCTTCCTGTTCTTGCCATTTTGCAGTCTATTCTCTGAAAGAGTGATCTTTGTAAAATTAAGTTGGATAATTCCACTCTTCTGCCTCCATCACATTCAGAGTAAAGCTAAAGGCCCATGAGCCCTATAAACAGGCCTCCCCTCACCCCTCTCCTCTTTAGTTTCATCTCTGACTCCCCTGCTCAGCCACACTGGCCTGCTTGCTGTTCCTTGAACCAGATGAACATGCTACCCCTTGAGAGGGTGACACCTGCTGTTCCCCCTACAAGGAACGCTCCTCTTCTCATGGCTTGCTGCCTTGTTTCCTCCAGGTCCTTACTGCAGCATCACCTCAGAGGTCTCCTCAGACTACCCTACTTAAAACTGTAACCCCACTCCCGACCTTAGCAGTTCTTCCTTCTGGGCTTTATTTTCTCCAAAGTACCTGTCACATACGCTATTCCACTGCTTTGATTTGTTGTTGGTCTCCCTTCATTAGCGGATAAGCTAACTAGCATCAGGATTTTTGTGTTTTGGTCACTACTCTATCCCCATGCCTAGTGCAGTGTACACAGCATGCTCTCAATAGAAGTTTGTTGAATGAGTGAGTGAATGACACAACGCTCTCTTCTAGTCCTGTAGGTGGAAACTTAACAGAACTGGCTGCGTCCTCATTTTCCTGCCCCGGGCCCTGATACAGCGCCTGCACACAGCGAGCATCTTAAGGAAACGAACCAGATGCCTTGTTTCCTCAGGCGTGCTGGAGGCCGGGGACCGCGTAACTCGCCAAAAGGCTCTCAAAGAGAGCTACTTGGCAGCCTCTTGCCTTAACTGTCCGCCTTGGGGGGCAGTTTTCCCTGAGGACAAGAATCTGGGCCTGAGGGACAGCAAATGGAAGAGGAAGAGTTGGTGGTCTTGGAAGAAGCGGAGCCAGCGTGTTCCTCCGGCGCCCGCACACCTCAAGCGACACCGGGTGCCGCCATCCGCCCCAACCCCGCGGTTGCTAACGCAACAGGCCTGGGCTCGCGGCAAGCGCAGCGTCTGAGCGCGTCTGCCCCCGGACCAGCCGCTCGCCTCGCGCGTGTGGCCCTGGCTCCTCGGCGTCGCCCAGGAAACGCCCCTTCAGGCCGGCCGTCCTGGCTCACCGGGACCCTCCAGGCGGTGTCCGCGCCCCGCGATTCCGGATAGAGCTTGTCCAGGCTGTAGGCGCTCCGGAATTCGGTGCCCTCTACCTGTTTGTGCAGACCCCGGTGGCAGTAATGCGCGGGCGGCGGCAGCAGCCAGGCCTCGGCTCGGCTCAGACCCCAGCGCAGGCACCTGGCGGCCGCCATGGTCGGCCCTCGGGGCCGCTTCCGGTGTGTTCTTCCTCTCGCGGTCCGCGGGCAGCGCTTCCCTCAGGACTTTGGTTCCGCTAGGCGTTGAGCGCCTGCGGTCGGCAGGAATCGAGCAGAACGCCCAGCGTTGCCCTCACGAGAAGCCTGTTAGAGGCTTCCTTGGTTCCGGAAGTCCCGGAGCGTAGCTGCCGCGATGGAGAAGACGTTGGCGGGCTCTCAAGGCCGCCTCCTGGTGAAAAGAACCACAGACACACCACTTCTCTCCCTTTCAGTCTGTGCCCTCCTCGACCGCTTCCTCCAAATCTCACAGCATCAACGAGGCCTGCCCAGGTTCATTTCCACCCCGTTTACTCTTTTCCACTTTATCCTTTTTTTCCCCTTTTCATAGCTTTCAATCTTATTTTTCTGTCTGTTGCCTATCTCCCAGCCAGAACGTAATCACCTCTAGGAGGGTGGTGGCTCACTGTTGGATCTCCAGTACCCAGAACCTGGGGCATCACAGGTAATCAAAAAAGATACTGATAAAAAGAATTCTCAGGAAAGGTGTTTTTGAAAGTTGAGTTCCGCCAGAGGTGAGTTTTAGTAACTTCAGGTTCACTGACAAAGTATCCTAAAAGCAGATCCCCGTGGAGCACCTGTGAAGAAGGCTCAGCATGACAGACACCAGGTGGGACAAGAGGCGGGCCGGTCGAGAAAGAAATATTTTTAAAAGTGGACAATCTCCCCCCCCCCCACCGCCGCCCCCTCCCACCCCCAGTATCTGTGGAGCAAGATGGCAGTTTCTTCTAGCCAGAAGATAAGAGGAGGATGGGGAAATAAGTACAGATTCAGACAGCTACAGATAGGATAAGTAGAACTCTTTTTAGAGAACTGTTAAAAAAAGATAAACTCCAAAACTGAGAGGTTCTAACTCTGAGAAAGGTTTAAAACAGAGCCAGCAGTGTTTGGAAACAGTTAAAGGTTAGCTCAGTTGCTTTGCTGAGAGGCAGAGTGGTAAAAGGAAAACAGAGCTCAATAAATGTTGGTGATTATTAGTAACACAGTGGTTGTTTCTTAATAGCAGGTTCTATTTTTAGGAAGAACATAATAACCTAGAAAAACTTGCCCCTAGGAGTGCTAGCTGTTTGAAATAGGAGATTTCATCAAGTCAAGGCTTTATCATCTTTGCCTCACTAATACAGGCAAATTCTTTTGGAGGGAAAAAAAGAAATACTTCCAAGCATTGGCTTTGTAAACCCAAACTAGGAAGGGAATGGCAATTGACATGTGCTTTTGGGGCTCTAGGCTTTAAGGGGAGTCTCCTGGGACCCTGCCTACCTGACTTAGTCCCAAAACCTCAGAGTGAACAGAGGCATCTCCATGGTGACTGGGAAAAGCTGCTCAGGGAGGCAAAGCCAGGGACTCGCCCAGGCTGACGGCCCAGGGATTATGAATAATGAACGCACCATCCCGTGGCATCATTGCTCTAAGGCTGGGCTCCAGCTCTGTGCCTGACCCAGAGTGATAGGAAAAGTGCAGGTGTCCATGGCCCCAAATAAACACAGCCTGCTCGGGCCATCTGGTGGCCTGGATTCTGGGAGAGGAGGGGGGCAGCAGAGAGAATGGAACCAGCTACCCTGGGGTGGAGAGAAGAGCAGCTGGCAATTTCCTTTTACCTGCTGTTGCCATGAACCCTCCAGAATTGAGGCCCTTTTGGGAGAAAACAGGCCTGAGAGCTGCCACCTGTTCTCTTAAAAGGGTGATGCTGAAGGCGGAGGCCAGCCTTCTTCCCTTTTCTGGTTCTCCATAGGCTGAAAGGGTGCTTCAGGAAGGGATGTGCATAGGGGTGAGAAGAGGGGAAGATAAGGGACCATCAAGCCATTCCTGGAAGCCAAGGAACTTGCTGACACCAGCCCTTCTCTACAGCTGTGATTGGGGGTACCACACCCATGTAGGGGTCCACAGGATTTTCCTTTCTTCTTGAGTGCCCTAGGGGCTTCCCTGGTGGCTCAGATGGTAAAGAGTCTACCTGCAATGTGGGAGACCCAGGTTGGATCCCTGGGTCCAGAAGATCCCCTGGAGAAGGGAATGGCTGCCCACTCCGGTATTCTTGCCTGGAAAACCCCAGGGACAGAGGAGCCTAGCAAGTCACAGTCCTTGGGGTCACAAAGAGTCGGACACAACTGAGCGGCTAACTTTCACTAGGTCAGTCTGGCTTTTAGAACTCGGCATTGTGTGGAGACAGGGAACATGTAGTATTGCATACTGCAATTAATCAAGTCTGGGTTCGACTGTTCCTATGTGACTTTGAGTTACTGACTTAACCTCTGAGTCTCGGGATCGGATCCGCGTCGGAGGTTGTATCGCTGCCTGGGAAGGTGGCTGAGGGTAAGGGTGATTTAAAAGGCCTGGCTGGATACAGGCCCCAGTTTCCTTCGCCTCTCAGGTCTGACAGCTTTGGGAGTTACACAACTTCTCCGGCCCACTGGAGACAGGCCACAGCAGGACCAGAAGATCCCACAGCTGCTTGCATGCTATAAAACCCCCCTTGCTATTCCAATAATGTAAAAAGCTCCTTGCCAGTTTGGGACCCAGCTCTGGGCTCCCCACACCACAGTCCTCACCTCCCGGGTTCAAGGAAAGTTGCTCCTGGCTCGTGGAATGTAGGGGGAGATGGGGGTTGGTGGGAGGTCCCTGAGCATACCCCCACTGAAGACTGGACGCTTTTCCACGTGTGATTGGGATCCACAAAGCTATCGCATTTTCAGGAATGGGAGATTGGAGAAGGGTGCAAGAAACGGACTCCCCCAAAGATTCAGGATCATCTTCTTTGACTTCTGGTTCCCTGGGCTGTTGGCAGGTGTGGGTTGGGGGGAGGGATTTGCAAAATCGGTACAGCGAGGAGAGTCTACCCCATGGGGCACCTGGCAAGGCAACACTTCTGGCATGACTGGCACTCAACAAATATGGAAACTTCTAAGAGTCTGCTGTTTGGCTGCCAGTCACAAGGGAGTGAAGTCAGGCTGTGCCCCCGCCCGTGTGATGGGAGGCTGGTGTATGAGATGCACAGACAGGACCACTGGGCTCCAGAGCCATTTCTGCTTTTAGAATACTGGTGCGTTTTTTTTTTTTATTAAAGAAGAGAATAAAGCATTTGTAAATATATTTCTCTCATGTATACTTCAAAGGTGAGTCACGCTGGTCGGCAGCTACAGAAGTGGGGAGCAAAGAGGCAGGAGCCGTTTCCCCACCTGTCCTGTCCCACCCCACCCCCTCCACCCTAGATGACAGAGACACACGGAGGGCAGGGAGCTGTCCGGCTCCAAAGGACAAAAGCTTCCAAGATGTGTGAACAGAAGGACCAGCTGACAGGTCTCATCACAGTGCCGCCCGGAGAGCAGCATGGTGCCTCCAGGGAGGCTGGGAGGCTTGTTAAGAAAACCCCTTAGAAACAGATAAGGCATGAAGGTTCCCCACTGGGCTCCCAGCAGAGGCCAGGGCCACTGACTTCCCTCCTCCAATCCCTAGGGTCTCAGGATGGGCAGTAGAAGGAACGGGGGGCCCTGAAGGGCAAACTGGGGATCTGGGCCTCTCTTAGCTGAAGCTGGATCTTCTGAAGCCTTAACACAAGATAAAGTCCCTGACCCTCCTGGGTCCTCAAAAGCCCCCCACAAAGCTGAGAGGTTAAGAGCAGGCATTTTATGGGAAGGAGGAGACACATTCCCCATCTGGTCCCATTTCAATACTGCTCAGGGTGGGGTGAGCATCCTGGGGGGGGCGCAGTAAAGCGGGGCAGGGGAGGATGCTGGGACCATGGGCTGGTGGCGCACGCCCAGGACATTCTGGGGGTGGCACTCATGACCTGCAGTGGGGTGGGCCTGGTGGTGGGGAGCATGGGGGTGAACGAGACACATCATGGTCCCTGAGATGGGGACAGGCAGAGGCCAAGCTCGGTGAGTCAGAGGAGGCGTGCAGAGGTGGGAGCTCCCATCGCCCGGACCCCTGGAAGGCTTGATACCCAGAAGGCATTCCCGGGGCTGGAACCCGGGGAGGCTGGCTCTGAGTTGATTGGCTACAAATCTGCGGTGGGCTGAGAGTGTCCAGGGAGAAGCCCGCCCTCACCAGTACTGGCATCAAGGGTTGCTCAGGCCTGGCTCAGGCTTTCCTGCTCTGCCTGGCAGGGGCCATCTCTAACCCGGTCAGGACCCTCAAGGCAGGGCAGCTGGTGCGAAGGGAATGACAGCGTGTCACAGCTAGGGAGAAGGAGTGGGTGGTCCGGGAGACCCCTAGGACCTGCAACAGCTGGCTCTGGGGTCCCCCTTCAAGTGTTTCCAGTTGTGGCAAGGGGGGTCAGGGAGAACTTGCCTTGCTAAAAAATCTCTCAGGAAAACCAACGTTGAAAAAAAAAGTCAACGGGTCCAGAATGGCTTTTAGAAGCTTGGCCACAAATCTGAGAGCACGGCAGGGGGTCAGGGGGCAGGGCTGGGAGAGCTGAGAATCCCCAGGGGAGTGGGGATGTTTGGCTTGCAATCTGTGGGCTGAGCCTGGGGCTGGCGCAGGTGACGAGGTTCCTGGGACTCGAGGAAGGCCTCCATCATCATCAGAGAGTGGGTTTCCCCCACGTGCTCCCTGGGTCAGAAGACAACCTCCCTCGGGGGTGTATTGCTGCTAAAAGGGCTCCCTCATTCACCAGAGGCTGCAGGGCCCAGGTTCGAGGGACCCCCACTGGCGTGACCCATGGGGGGAAACTGTCACTTGCTGCTGTGTGTCTTGACTTTGGTGGCGTTGATGTCGGCCTTGGTCTTCTGGATCCTGGAGAAGATCTCCTTGAAGAGCGCCTTGTATTCGGGCTGGCTCTGCTCCAGCCGCTTGTCCACGGCCTCCACGTGCTGGCTGAGGCTCTTCTCCGCCTTGGGCTCCCCCAGGCCCTCCTCGCCCGCCCGCAGGTCCCTCCACGAGCTGTCCCGGGAGATGGGCCGCGAGGTCTGCACCCCGGCGTGCCGCACCCCGGCCCCGTGCTGCCGGCACTTGCTCAGCAGCTCCTCGTATTTCTCCAGCAGCGCGTGGTACTGCTCGTCCACCTCGCGCAGGATGGACATGCCCCGCTTGCGCACGCTGTTGGCGTGCAGTGTGAGGTTGCCCGCGTGCCGGCTGGCCGGATCTTTGGCCACAATGGCGTTGAGCGCCGTGTCGCTGCAGCTCTTGCGCACGGCGTGGCCCGGGGAGGCCGCCGGAGAGGAGACCCCATCCTGGGGGCCGGTGTCGTCGCCGCTGCCGGGCTGGGGGTCGTCGGCTTCAGGCGCCTGGGTGAGGGGCGCCAGCAGGGCCTCGGCCAGGTGGTCCTCCCGGCCCAGCAGGTAGGTCTTGGCCTGCTTCATCTGCTGCAGCTCCAGGAGCTCGGCCTCCAGCTCCTGCACGCGGAAGCGGCAGCTTTCCATCTCACACAGCTGCCGCTCCAGCTCCGAGTACTCCTGGAGCACCGCGGCGTACTCGCGCTCCGCCCGCTCCTTGCGCTGCCGCTCCTGGCTCACCTGCGAGCGCAGCACGCCCACCAAGGTCTGCAGCCGCTCGTTCTCCTGTTCCAGGGGCCGTGGGCCCAGCTCCAGGGAGGAGCTGTGCAGGCGGAAGGCATCTTCACACCTGGGAGGGAGCAGGGGCAGGTGGGCAGAGGGCGGGGGTGCGGGCGCGGGCGCGCGCGGGCCAGGCCCTTGGCCCCAGCCGCATCTCTCTGCCCCACGGGGCTGCATGCTCTGCCCATCTAGAGTCACTCCCGGGCCTTCTCCCCCGGCTCTCTGCCCTGGGAGCTTGCTCTTGCTTCAGCCAGGTGTCCTGGCTCTCTCTTGGGTTCAGCCGATGGGAGCCACGGGCAGGAGGTCCCAGGGTGGGAGCAGAGAGAGGTCGTGGGGAATGTCTCTCCCTGGGCTTCCTCCCTGGTTACTGCGGGGCAGGCAGGAAGCCTGCTCCATGCTCTCTAAGTTCCAGTATCCTCTCTTCTCCTGGTCCCTTTAGGTCTCAGGATGGTATCAGCTCCTGGCTATTGCAACCCCAGGGTGAGGCAGTGTTCCCCTGGTTTCCCCACACCTTGCCCACACCTCTTTATTGATTCGTCCTCAGTTACCCTGGGCAGGGCGCTGTCTCTTGCCAGGACCTTTATTGAAACACCCATTAAATCCACAGTGTGTATTCTTTTCTTTAAAAAAAATTTTTTTTTTAATTTGGCTATGCTGAGTCTTAGATCATCAATCTTTATTGCAGCATGCAGGATCTTTAGTTGGGGCATGTGAGATCTAGTTCCCTGACTGTTGATCGAATCCAAGCCCCCTGAATTGTGAGTGTGGAGTCTTAGCCACTGGACCGCCAGCAAAGTCACCCACCGTGTAAGTCATCCCAATTCAAAAGGCTTAATGGGAACTGAAAGGGACAGTAGTTCGTCCCTCCTGCGTGAGACTTCTGACTTACTAAGCAGGTGACCTTGGAGTTTCAATTTCCTCTTCTGAGTAGTGGGGATGATAAACCACACCTCACGGTATTGCGGTGAGAATTGTCACTTAGCAGCGTGGTGGGCACGTGGCCAGGGCTCATAGCACCAGCTGCTGACTGCTGTTAGCTCCACGACCTGCCTCTGCAATAGCCCAGAGGATGCAACAACCCTCCTCCCACTGCTGCCTGGCGCCCACCCTGCCTCCCCCTCACCCCATGGAGACGGGCCCAGGGCGCCCTCACTTACCGGGGGCTGGTGCACAGTTCCTTGAGACAGGGGAAGGTGTGGATGGTACGCCTGCGTTCGCGCTTCTCCCGCAGCACGCGCAGCTGTTCCAGGTCCCGCAGCTGCTCCACCTGAGCCTGCAGCTCCTCCACCTGGGTCTGCAGGCGCTCGATGGTCTCTGTCAGCCTGGGGGTGTCAGCAGGGGACACACGGATGGGAGTGACGCTCAGGGGACGGGGTCAGCCCTCCTCGCTGCAGCCCTAGCGGGGCTTGGAGGCTGGAGCCGGACAGGCAACCTTGAGTCTGGTTGCTGGTTGAGTCACGCTGCCTGGTGCTGAGGCCAGACGAGGAATTCCTTGGGCAGCCAAAGACCCACGCTTCTGCTCCACCTCCCAGGCCAAGCCGACACTTCTCCGTGTCTCCTCCCTCGATTTCTTTCTTTTTTAATGTATCTACTTATTTATTTATTTAAATTTATTTATTTATTATGTATTTATTTACTTTTTTGGCTGTGCCAGGTATTAGTTGCAGCACACAGACTCTTTGATCTTAGTTGAGGCGTGTGGGATCTTTAGTTGTGGCCTGTGGGATCTAGTTCCCTGGCCAGGGATCAAACCTGGGCCCACTGCATTGGAAGTGAAGAGTCTTAGCCACTGGACCACCAGAAGTCCCTTTCTTTTTAAAGATGTTTACTTTATTTAATTGGGTTTCCCTGGTATCTCAGCTGGTAAAGAATCCACCTGCAATGAGGGAGACCTGGGTTTGATCCCTGGGTTGGGAAGATCCCCTGGAGAAGGGAACGGCTACCCAAACCAGCATTCTGGCCTGGAGAATTCCATGGACTGTATAGTCCATGGGGTAGAAAAGAGTCAGACATGACTTTTACTTTCACTTAAATAATTTATATTTATTTTTGGGCCATACGATGTGTGAAATCGTAGTTCCCTGACCTGAAATCAAACCTGTACCTCCTGCGGTGGAAGCAGGAAGCCCTGTCTCCTCAGTTCCTTGTACACTCTTCTGTCACTTATCACTTTGCACTGCAATAAAATAGTCATGTACCTGCCTTCCCTCCCAGAGGGCGGGACAGTGTCTTTGCATCTCCATCACTACATTTTCAGAGCCTGGTATATAGTTGGTGCTTAAATAAGGGTTGTGGCCAGAATGTTAAACCAGCCCAAATCAACAAAGGCAAAGCCACTGCCATCCCAGGTTCCCAGACCTGGGCTTTTGGGGGAAGTAACCTGAGTCACACCCACTGGTGTACACACACACACACAGGTACACCCTGGGCTTTTTGGGGAAGGAACCTGTCACACCCACTGGTGTACACACACACACACACACACAGAGGTACACCCACCCCTGGGGCCTCCCCCTTACCATCCCACACCCAGGTTCCCAGCCCTCCACCCGGCCCTCACCCGTGGATCTTCTGCTGGGCCACCTTGCTCTCCAGCACCAGCTTCTGATTGGTCAGCTCCAGGTCTCGGGCCGCCACGTCCAGCTGCTCGTACACTTTGGCGTGCTGTTCATTCACGTGCCGCAACGTGTCCAGCTGTTTGGTCAGATACTGGGGGGTGGGGGTAGGGGTGGGATAGTTACCTTTCAGAGCTGTGTTGGGGAAAATGTCTCTGCCTGGGCCCTCCTCCCACTTCCAGGAACAGGTTTGCTTTGGGGTATTTGTCTGCAGCGGAGGGAGGCGGTCAAGCTGGTGGTACAACGGGGCTGCCTGGGACAGTTGTGCAGGTTGTGGACTGCACAAGGCTTTTGGGTCAAGGCTGGGTCTGCTAAGATGGGGTACCTTTTCCTAAGCTGCACACAGGCACACACAGACTGAGGGGCCCTTGATAGGACAGAGAGCATGTACAGGGCCCGGGGGCCCCTCACCTCGATCTCCTGCACTTGCTCCTCGTTGGTGGAGTACATCTGCTGTAGAGACTCCTCCAGCTCCTTGTTCCTCTCCAGCAGCGTCTTCCCCAGCTCTGCGGCCAAGTGCAAGTCTGGTGGGGAGGCGGCAGAGGGTGGCAGGAGCATGAGCAACCGAGAATGGAGTCAGAAGACCCCTCCCATTCTTGTTCTGAACGTTCATTCTGGGCTGAGCCTTGGGGACCCGGAGAGAACCAGGACCCAGGGGCCGCCCCTGGGGAGACTCCAGGCTTGGAAGGAGATGTAAGCCGTGAGGAGGCCTGAGCATTGGCCTGGAATGCCCTCTCCCCAGACACTCCCAGGGTTCCTCCCTCTGTGCCTTCAAGTCTGTGCTTTAACGTCACCTCCTGCAGGAAGCCTTTCTCAACCAGATTCAGAATCACCCTCCCCAGCCCCACGCCCTTCCTGCTTCATTTTCCTCCTAGCTTCTACGGCCATCTACCTGACCCAACAATTGCGCGTTAACTTGCTCCTGCCCTTGACAATGGTAAGCTTACAGGTTAGGGGTTTTGCCTGTTTCAGTCACTGACACCCTGAGGACTTAGAACAATACCAGGTGAGCAATAAATCTAGTCTGAAAGAAGGAGTGAGTGGAATGTGATAAGAGCATCAGCATACAGGGGGCAAAGTGCCCTGGGAGATAGGGAAGGGAGAGTTCATGGTGCAGATAGTGGGAATCTCAGACAAGGAGCAGCTTTGGAGGTGGGCTTGGAAGGACAACTGGAGCTCACTGAACTGGGGAGAGAGTGGAAGGGTTTGCTGGGTATTAGAACAGGACCAGGCTTCAAAGCCTAGTCTGTCTTTAGGGGTCTGTGTGGTGGGGAGTAGGGGGGTTAGAAGGAAGTGGCAGGTGCCAGAATCCCTAAAAATTCTCTCAAGTGGGTCCGGAGTTGGGTGAGGGTACCATGACATTTGGAGTGGATATTTCCACATATATATGCCTAATTCCTTTTAGAAACAAAGGGTAATGTATAATAAGATAATGAACAAGGACCTACTGTATACCACAAGTGCATGCGTGCTAAGTCGCTTCAGTCGTGTCTGACTCTTTGTGACCCCATGGACAGTAGTCCGCCAGGCTCCTCTGTCCAAGGGATTCTGCAGGCAAGAATACTGGAGTGGGTTGCCATTTCCTCCTCCAGGGCATATTCCCCATCCAGGGACCAAACCTGCACCACCTTATGTCTCCTGTAGTGGTAGGTGGGTTCTTTACCACTAATGCCACCTGGGAAGCCCATAGCACAGGTGAGTCTACTTAATACTCTGTAATGACCTATATGGGAAGAGAATCTAAAAAAAGGGTAGATATATATCTAATTGGTTCACTTTGCTGCAGAACAGAAACTAACACAACATTGCAAATCAACTCTATGCCAATAAATTTTCTTAAAAAGCAAAGGGTAGCATCGAAACATGTATATTATCTAGGGTGAAACAGATCGCCAGCCCAGGTTGGATGCATGAGACAAGTGCTTGGGCCTGGTGCACTGGGAAGACCCAGAGGGATCAGGTAGAGAGGGAGGCAGGAGGGGGATCGGGATGGGGAGTACATGTAAATCCATGGCTGATTCATGTCAATGTATGACAAAACCCACTACAATATTGTAAAGTAATTAGCCTCCAACTAATAAAAATAAATGAAAAAAAAATAGCAAAGGGTAGTGTGTATATATATATATATATATATGTATATATTATTCATTTATATTTAAATATATATTTATAAGGGAAGCCGAGAATCATACTGTGGTTTCAAAGAAGAGGGCAGGTCCATTTCTGCTGTGAGCTTGGTGGAAATTCAGCAGGATCAACCACCCCTAGTTCATGATGAGGGAGGCACACCAGCTCCCTTTTCTCTGTAACGAGATGGCGAGCATTTGGCTCATCCACAAACCCTTTCAAATAACTCAGGTATAAATGGAAAAACAGAAGGTCACATTCATCACAGCTTTTTCTTTTTTTTTGCCTTGGGAACTGGGTCAGGTGGTCTGCAATGGGGCCATTGCTACTGATGTTGTCTCCTGCCTTGGCTTCAGGGGACAGGCTCTGTGGATGACCTGCATGAAACCTCTGAAACTTAGGCTAGAGTCTAAGGTCACAGGCAAGGCCGAGAACAACTGCACTTTATGCTTTTTCTTCCAGGTGAGCAGCTGAGCTGGGCATGTATTCCTACCGCCAGCGGGGTGGGCTGGGGTGGCTGCCGGTCACACTATAAACTGGGGATGTTGAAGGCAGCGAATGTGACCAGAGCCGCCTAGTGATTCCAGGGAAGGGGAGGAAGAGAACACAGTGGAAGTAGTTTGGGGTGGGGGAGAATCTCAGAGACTGTTTCAGGGAAATTGGATCACAGTGGAAGCTAAGCTGGTCAGAGCTGTCAGGAGGGATCACGAGAGAAGTCTAGAAGCTTCAGGGCAGGGGGCTGAGTGGAGCCAAGTGCTGGGGAAAGGACCCCAGCTAGATGAGGACTGGGGACGGCTCTGGGAGGGCGCAGACCCCAGACCAGAGAGGGAGGGGGCCCAGGAGTGGGGGGACAGAGGAGCTGGCTAGGCCGGGAGTGGGGTCTGGAGTAATAAACAGCCTGCCACAGCGAGAATGATGGTTACACCGGACCATTACTGGGAAGGTACTGAGTCTGAACTGGCCTCTCCCCTGCCTGGAGCTGAGTTTTCTGGGGTCTCCTGCAGTGGGCTCTGAATGCCAGTCAAGGTTACCTGGGGGCAATGCCCCAGAACCCGAGAGAAAATGGCTGGGAGCCAGGGGGATGTCTTTGAAAGGAAACCCTGAAACCCCACTGCCCCTCCTGGTTGGGGTCAGCATGGAGCCCCCCAGCCTGGGGAGGAGAGGAAAAGGACAGAGGGCAGACACAGGAAGAAAGGGATCACACAGAGACAAGCGGGATGGGAGGAGGCCAGCTGCCACCTGGCAGGGTGGCAGGGGTCTGTTCACAACCTTCAGGGCGCCGACGTCAGGAGCTCTGCATCTGCGGAATTGCGGTCCACTCACCTTCCTCCCCTTGCCATGACAGAGCTTGGCCCTAAGGCTGAGACTCAAGGTCAGGAGCCCAAGGCTTCAAATCTGTGACTCAGCAGCCATCTCTCAGCCTGGAAAGAGGTACCCACAGGGCCAGCCACACCTGGTCCAAGGTGGGGGAGGGAGGCAGGCAGAGAGAGTGCCAGCACTTAATAATTAATGACTTTTTCTATTTTTACGGGTGCTTGTGGCAGTGGGCAGAGGGAACACAGCGAGAACTGAGGACCTTGTTTGTCCCCACTGCCTCCCTCCACTAGGACAGAACAGCGTCAAAGTCAAATAGGAGCTTGATGGCGAAGCATCTGAAAGTAAACTTGGCTCCTGTCCTCGGCGGGGATGGAGCTGGCTGAGAAAAACCACGTCCAGGGATGCTCAGAGGCAACTAGGGGGCGCTGGGCAGGAAAGAATTTGGGCACTGGGTTGGGGGAAGGGGGAAGCAACAGGCACCCGATCCCCCACGTGGTTGGCCTCTGGCCCAAGTTCAGGCCATCATCCAGTGCTTCATGCCGGGCCCCACAGGGGTGGTGCTGCAGTAGCTGTGCCCGGGCCTTCCTCCAACCCCACCCCTGACACTCTGGATAATTCCCACTTTCGGGGCGGTCTTTTCACATCACTCTGTGCCTCAGTACAAGTACTATCTCCACTAGACCACTGGCCTTCCTTCCTCTGCCAGGGCAGTAGGGGTGGGTAGGGGGTTGGGGGTGTGGCTGTTCCCCCTCCAGCTCCGAGGCGGTGCAAAAATCTTGTGCATATCTCAGCAGAGGGCCCTCAAGCCTGTTCTCGCTGTCTGCAGGGCTCACTGCAGAGCCCCAGTGGCTCACTCACAAGTGCTGGTTTCATCCCATTCCTGCCTCCTTGGCTGGGCTGTGGAGACTCCGGAGGGCAGAGATCAAGTCCCCAGGCTCAGCCCGGCACCTGGCCCTTGGCAAGCAGACGTTGGGGTTTTGGTCAAAAGCTCTCGTTTCTTCTGAGACTGTCTCTGGTTTCCCTCCTTGCTGCTGGGACCCAGCTGCTACTCAGGCCATGAGGCTAGGCCGACTGCTGCAGACCAGCAAGGCCAGAAAAGCAGGGGCCTGTGGGGCCCATTCCTGACCCTGGCCCCAGAGCCTGGCTGCCTGGCCACCCTGGCATCTTGGCATCCCTCCCTCTCCGGATGCAGCACATCTGCCAGCCCTGATCCCTGGCTCCTTCCTCCCACATCTGGGCTGGGCATGGTGCCAGAGCCTTCTTCAGGGGCGCGGGAATGGAATGAGACAGCAATGATAGTAGCATCTGCCTCTGAGGAGGCCATCCTCCCAGGCACTCAGCTTCCAATCCTTCCTTCTAGGCCCACCTCTTCCGTGAAGCCCTCTCATTGCATCCTGTCGTCCCCACTCAGTTACAAGCCCAACCCCACCTACCCAGATGCACCTAGGAGGCCAGGACTAGGACTGCTCCCAGCTCCCAGGATAGCGTCTGACACTCAAGGGGAGCCTGATAGGCGTTTGTGTAATGTGAGGTTTTGGGAGTAGTTGGTCCAGGATGGGGGAAGGGGGTGTTGCAGCCAGGATCAGGCATTTCGCTCCAGGCAGGGAGGCTGAGGGTGGAGGCAGGGTCCAGCCCAGCACCCCCAGTACCACCCTGGTCCCCCAGAGGCTCTGATTAACCCACAGCCCGGAGCACAAGGGCAGAGCCTCATCTACCAGCAAATCTGGCCACGTGGGGTTGTGGGTCAGGGCTGAAACACAAAGGCTCCATCGGGGTAGATGCCTTGCACAGGGCCAAAGGCAGGTATCTGGGCCCCGGAGTTGGAGACCCAGAGCGGAGGCTGTCGGCTCACACCGACTGTCCACACCCACCTGGCTTGCTGGATGACTGTGGTCACTTCTAGGATATGCTTCCTAGCCCCTCCAATTCTGACCATCCCAGAGTGAGGCACTTTGGGGAAGAGAGGGTGGATTGGGCTCCAGCAGGCCTTGGCCCTGACCCTCTCAAGCCTTCTCCTCCTTCCTGTCCTAACAGCCCCGCCCCCTCCTTGGAGTGATGTCACCCCGGCCACCTCACCAACCCCCAACCAGTCGCCCTCTTTGCCCTCAGATGGGAGAGATGGAAACGTGGCTCCCTGTTTACTCAGGCTCTGATCTGGGGCACTGCTCAGAATTCCCAAATCCGACCTGCTCCAGACCTTGCGCCATTTGGGAGAAGGCCAGCAGGGAAGGGCCGCCGGGACTCCTCCCTCCAGAAGGCGGGTTGGACTCCCAGTAGTCTCCGCTGCCTTCACCCGCAAGATACCCGCACCCCCATCACCTCCCCGGGGGGAGGGGAAGGGACCTGGGGAAACTTTCCAGGAGTCTGTGCGCTCCGGAATCCTGGCAGGGAAGGGTGCCGCTGGATTTAGAATGGGATTAACTTCCTCCCCTCACCCCTCCCCACACACAACCCCTCTCAGCAAAACAGAACCAAGGAGCCGCCTCCTGGCCTCCAAAGACTTCCAGTTAGCATTCTCAGACCCTCAACCATACCCGGGGCTCCTGGGCAGTTTCAGCCTCTAAGATGAGGTGGGCGAACTGGGTGATGTCCGCCCCGTTGTTTGGGGAAAGAAGACCGCTCCCCCGACTTTTGCAGGTCTCCACCGGTCTGGTTGCCCTTTTCCAGGGGCAGGCCACCGTCTCTCCACGTCCTCATTCTCCAGACGCATCTCCCCTCGGAGTCCGGCACGCCGGGTGCAGCCCGGTCCTCCCGGGGTGACACCTCCCAACAATGGAGAAGCGGACAGGGTCGCGGGGCGCACCCCGCTTTCCCGCCCCCTGCGCTCACCCTGCTCCAGGTCCTGCTGGTCGTACCAGGGCTCCTCTTCCTCTGCCGTGAAGTCCTCCATCCTGGCGGCCCTCCGCATGGCCCCGCAGGCGGCGGGTGGCGGGCGGGCGCTGCGGCGGCGCGGCTCAGAGCCGGGGCGCGGGGCCCGGGACAATGCGGCGGAGGCGGGCCGAGCCTCCCGCGTCGCGGACTCGGGCTGCAGTGCCCCCGCCCGCGCCGCGCCCCCTCGCCATCGGCCGCCGGCCGGACGCCCACGCGGGGCTGGCTCGCTGCCGCGGGCCCGCCGGGCGGGGGTCTTGCAGAGCGGGGCGCACCGGGCGGCGGCTGCACAAAGGGTGGAGGGGCGGGGACGGCGGGCGGGAAGGCGGCAAGGAGACCCCCGGCCCGACCGGCAGGTCTGGGGCGCTAGGAACGCGCGGGTGCCGCGGCGGGCGCGCCCAGCCCGGCTCCTGCCCGCGCTGCCCCCGGCCGGCGCGGCGACACCCGGAGCCGCCGCTGCATCTTGGCGGTGTCCGCCCCGCGCTTCCCGAGCTGCCCGCTCCGCGGGGCGGAGCCAGCCGTCGCTGGCCAGTCAGGAGGGGTATGCAAAACAGGAGGCGGGGCCGAGGGAGGGATCTCCGCGACGAGGCGGTCGGGCTGTTGCTAAACCAACCCTCGCTTCCCTTCTAGGGTCTCATCCCAGTTTATTTCTCAAGGTGTGAAATCGTTTTATGATGTTTACCTATTGTTGTCTCTCTCCCTGTAGATCTTCTAACAGCAAAGATCTTGTCTCTCGTTCTCAGCTGGCTCTTCAGTGCCTAGAGCAGGCTGATCCATTGCTACCTTCCATGGACACTCTTGGAATGAATGAAAATTAATTTAAAATTACCTTTAGGAAATTGTGTTTAAATGCCTGTGGCCTAAAATCTCACGCTAGGAGTGGTGAACTTTGACTGTTTACCCGCATTCTGAGTCTTTCCCTTTAAGATCCTGTTTCCCTCTACTTGAGATCCAGGTCTTACGCCCAATTACACCGCTTACACCGCCCAATTACACCGCTTACACCGTATGTAGCGTCACCTCTCCGAGCATTCTTTCCTTAAAGGAGTTTTCAGAATCAAGTATATGCGTAGCTCATTTTTATTAGGACCTACCACGCGCTGGTACTATTAAAGCACCCTGAGCATAACCCACTCTAAATACATGTGGCAAACACATCCGACAAAGGACTTGTATCCAGAACAGAGAAAGAACACCTGCAAATCCACAAGAAAACTCAGTAGAAAAGTGCATAAAAGACTTGACCAAGCACTTCATAAATGACCCAGTAAACACGTGACAAGGCGTTGAACTTCTTTAGAAGAATCAACACCTATAGGGGAAAAGTAGGAGGCACCATTGTTTCTGTAACAAACTATTCCAGGTTTAGTCGCTTCAAACAACACGAATTTATTATCTTATAGTTTCGCAAGTGAGAAGATTGACATGGCTCTCGATGACTAATATCTAGTTATCTGCAAGGCTTTGTTCCCGTCTGGAGGCTCCAGGCAAGCATCTCTTTCCTTGCTGCTCCCACCTTCTGGAGGCTGCCCATATTCCACGGCCCATGGCCACCCTTTTCCATGTTGAAATCCACCAACAGAAGATGACCTTTCGCTGGATCACTCTGACATCTTTGGCCTCTTTCTTCCACTTTAAAGACCCTTGTGTGTACACTGGAACCACCTAAATAATCCAGCATAATCTGCCTCATTTCAAGATCCCTGATTTAACCACATCTGCAAAATACCTTTTTACAGGTGAAGTAAGATATTCAAAGATTCTGGTGATTAGAATGTGGGCATTTGTGGTGTGTGTGTGTGTGTGTGTGTGTGTCATAATTCCATTTATGTAAATTTCAAAATTGGCAAAACAAATCTAATCAGGGTAATATTTGGCATTGGGGAGACATGTGGGGGACATTGAGGGGCTGGGAGTGTTTTATTTTCTGATCTGGGTGTTGGTTACACACAGGTGTGTTCATTTGTAAAATCACTTATGATACATGCATTTCTCTGAATATGTTATATTTTAATACAATAGCTTACTCAAGAAGAAGAAAAAAAATCCTATGGCTGAGAAACAGTTTCTGCCCTTGTGTAGCATGCATTCTAGCACGGATAAATAAATGTGCTATGAAGGAAATTAATAGGGTCATAGATTCTAAGACAGAAAAAGCTGGACATACATCAGACACTGAAGGGAGCCCGGCATAACTGGAGTGGAGCAGATAGAAAAGAGATGAACTAGAGTTAGTGCCATGGGAAAGAAATGGGGATTTTATTTTGTTCCCAAATAGACAAAGAGACCCAATAAAAGGCTTTTCATTTTCAGTTGTGAAATATTACTGGCAATTTTGGAGCATGGATTGGAGGAGAGCAAGAGTGGAAGCAACATGGGACTTCCCTGGCAGACCGGTGGTTACGACTCCACACTTCCACTTCAGAGAGCACAGGTTCAATTTCGGGCCAGAGAATTAAGATCCCACAGCCAAGGGGCCAAAAAAAAAGAAAGAAAGAAAGAGTAGAAGCAAGAAGATCAGTTTGGAGGCTTTTGTGATCATGTAGGGCGGTCTGATGGCAGTGGAGATGGAGCTAGAGGAGAAATATTTAAACTAAAGAAGGCTGAGAGCCAAAAAGTTGATGCTTTTGAATTGCGATGCTAGAGAAGACTCTTCAGAATCCCTTGTACAGTAAGGAGGTAAAACCAGTCAATTCTAGAGGAAATCAACCCTGAATATTCACTGGAAGGGCTAATGTTGAAGCTCCAATACTTTGGCCACCTGATGGGAAGACTGACTCTTTGGAAAAGACTCTGATGCTGGGAAAGATTGAAGGCAGGAGAAGTGGGTAACAGAAAATAAGATGTTTGGAGAGCATCACCGACTCAATGGACATGAGTTTGAGCAAACTCCAGGAGACAGTGAAGGTTTTCAGGGAAGCCTGGTGAGCTGCAGTCCATGGGGTCTCAAAGAGTCAGACACCACTTAGCGACTGAACAACAATAACTAAGATATACAGGTGAATTGACTGAAAAGTCAGAGAGATGCCTTAAATGTGTGGCTTTAGTAACTGGGCGATGGTGATGCCATTTATGGAGATGGGGACAAAATGAGTCTAAGGGACAAACAGGTTGGGGGGCCGAGATCCAGAGGGGTCTGGTCAGCACACCCAAACCACCAAATCCCCTTCCATTTGTTTATTTCTTCATTCTGCAGCCCTGTGGACATATACCCACAGGAGCCAGGGAGTTTAAGGAATCCCCAGAGAAGAGCCTTTTCATACTGTTCATGGGGTTCTCCAGGCAAGAATACTGAAGTGGTTTGCCATTCCCTTCTCCAGGGGCCCACATTCTGTCAGACCTCTCCACCATGACCCAGCCGTCTTGGGTGGCCCCACACGGCATGGCTTAGTTTCATTGAGTTAGACAAGCTGTGGTCGGTGTGACCAGACTGGCTAGTTGTCTGTGATTGTAGTTTCAGTCTGTCTGCCCTCTGATGCCCTCTCTCCGTGCCTACCGTCTTACTTGGGTTTCTCTTACCTTGGACGTGGGGTCTCTTCACGGCTGTTCAAGAAACCTGTATGCAGGTCAGGAAACAACAGTTAGAACTGGACATGGAACAACAGACTGGTTCCAAATAGGAAAAGGAGTACGTCAAGGTTGTATACTGTCACCCTGCTTATTTAACTTATATGCAGAGTACATCATGAGGAAACGCTGGGCTGGAGGAAGCACAAGCTGGAATCAAGATTGCTGGTAGAAATAGCAATAACCTCAGATATGCAGATGACACCATCCTTATGGCAGAAAGTGAAGAAGAACTAAAGAGTCTCTTGATGAAAGTGAAAGAGGGGAGTGAAAAAGTTGGCTTAAAGCTCAACAGTCAGAAAACTAAGATCATGGCATCTGGTCCCATCACTTCATACCAAATAGATGGGGAAACAGTGGAAACAGTGGCTGACTTTATTTTTCTGGGCTCCAATATCACTGCAGATGGTGATTGCAGCCATAAAATTAAAAGACGCTTACTCCTTGGAAGGAAAGTTATGACCAACCTAGACAGCATATTAAAAGCAGAGACATTACCAACAAAGGTCTAGTCAAGGCTATGGTTTTACCAGTGGTCATGTATGGATGTGAGAGTTGGACTGTAAAGAAAGCTGAGAACAGAAAAAAAATAAAATAAAATAAAGAAAGCTGAGCACTGAAGAATTGATGCTTTTGAACTGTGGTGTTGGAGAAAACTCTTGAGAGTCCCTTGGACTGCAAGGAGATCCAACCAGTCCATCCTGAAGGAGATCAGTTCTGGGTGTTCATTGGAAGGACTAATGTTGAAGCTGAAGCTACAACACTTTGGCCACCTGATGTGAAGAGCTGACTCATTTGAAAAGACCCTGCTGGGAAAGATTGAGAGCAGGAGAAGGGGACGGCAGAGTATGAGATGGTTGGATGGCATCACCGACTCAATGGACATGGGTTTGGGTGGACTCTGGGAGTTGATGATGGACAGGGAGGCATGGTGTGCCGCAGTTCATGGGGTCGCAAAGAGTCGGACACGACTGAGGGACTGAACTGAACTGAACTGAATAGAGAAAAGCAGGGGCAAAGCGCTGGGGGCCAGGACCTGGGCAGTGAATGCTAGCAATGAAAAGCAAACCCATCAACCTGAAAATTCACCCCAACCCCTGCAGTTAAGAATGCTTTCAGTGAGGACTTAGAACGGGGTCCCTCATCCTCTGGGATCTAATACCTGGTGATCTTAGGTGGAGCTGATATAAGAATAATAGAAATAAAGTGCACAATAAATGTAATGTACTTGAATCATCCAAAATCACAGTCCTCCCCACCCCCCCGCCCTAATCCTGGCTGGTGGATAAATTGTCTTCTATGAAACTGGCCCCTGGTGCCTAAAAGGTTGGGGACCGCTGACTTAGCAGACCCCCATATTTGAAAACATCCAGCTCATAGGTCATCACTCAGCTTTGGACCTTTGCCACACTGACCACATCCTCAGCATGACCCAAATACACTCCCTTCCTGGAGCCACCCGCTCCCTGCCCC